CAAGGACTGAAATCCGCTGAAGACCCCTCTCTACTGAGTCTTGGCGGCGCCGACCTGCTCAGCCTTCAAGCTGCGCATGACCTTTCTCCTCTGCTTCATCATGTACGTGTACAGAATGTAGGAGCCTAGCATAGTCAGTATTTTGCTCTCCCAGAGCACTTTAGTTCGTCGACATACCAGGGACGTAGATGGCCAGGATGGCGTAGCTCAGATACGGCACGAGCTCGCCGTAGGCCTTGGCCGGCTCGGCGGCAAGGTAGACGAGGGCGCACTCGCTGGCGATGCCGATGGGGTAGAGCACGAAGAACGTGTTGTAGCGCAGCCAGACGAGGGCCTTGGGCTGCAGGCCGCTCAGGGTCAGGGCAAAGTACGAGTAGCGGATGACCTCGGTGACGCTCCAGGCGAGGAGCATCGAGGTGTAAAAGGGGCTGCGGGCGAGCCAGGGGAAGGGCCAGACGACGCCCCAGACGAGGAGGTAGCGGCTCAGGACCTGCATGAGGGTTGTCGGGACGGGAGAGCGGACGACGCCTGGGGGGGTTTGCTGTTAGCGAGGGGTCCCTATCTTAGGGAGGAGGATGGGGAACGCACCGAGGAGGGCGTGCAGGACTTCCATGCCGGCCATGGTCTGGGTCCATCGCGTCCAGTCGCCGACGCCGAGGTGGACAAAGTCGGGCCCGCGGAGGTAGAAGAGCGCGACGGTGCGGCCGAGGACGACGAGCCAGGCGATGGCCGAGACGGCGTTGTAGAGGATCAGGTAGGCATTCTTGACGGGCGAGGGTTTGCGCTGCGGCTTTGCCGGGGCTGCTGCTGTGTCGGCCATTCTGAAGTGCTGTCGGGAAGGGGTGCTAGGCGGGGAGGGATGTCAAGGTTTCTCGTGGGATGTTCCAGGAACCGACAAAAGTAATGCGATTTTGAGATTGGCACTTGATGGACCTTGGCGATTTTCGGCGGGAGCTCAATCCATCGTTGGGGTTGAGGACTCATGGCGCGATGATTGGTCGAACACATCTGGTGGGGCAAGAGGTCATCTTCTGCTTCGCCCTTCAACCAAGGCCCTTCCTTCATCTTTCCTTTGCTTGATCACTACCACAAGGCAAGTTTCTTGTGCTACCGCAATGAGCGCCTATCGATTCTGGTCTTCCCATGCCTGGACTCGATTCATGTTCGTGCAACCATTGCATAAACGTCATGTCCAGTCCCAAGCATGTGACAACCTTACTGGATGCAAAGCCGCAGGGCTGTTCGACACCCCCAAGGTGATCCTTCCGACGACAGGGCTTTTCAGAACCTTGAGGTCCGGCTGGCAGACTCTCGAGAGCCTTCGGAGATACCATGAGAAGTCAATTTTACCGCTGATATAAATAAAATGCCATCCCCAGTCGCCGTGTCCGGCCACTCAACACACAGATCGACGGTCGACACCAAGCAGACACCTTCTCAAACACTGTCAGACCCGTATACCTTCCAACTTGAGTCGCACCAACAAGTGGCCGCTTCTCGAGATGAACTGCAATGCATGCTCCACCGAAGATGTGCTGCCCAACGCCGACAAGCTCAGAGGACGTGAAAACTGGGACGAATGGGCCGTCCGTGTCGGGCGCATCCTCAAACGTCACAGCCTGTTCTTCGTCACCAGGATACGGGAACCGCATGTCAACTCCATGAAGGGCAGAAGCGACAGAGCGATGGCCATCATTTGCCAAAACTGCGGCCCGGGCGTGCTGGCGGCCCAAGAAGGGCAGTGCTCGAATGCCTGGGTCATGTGGAGGAGGCTCGACTTTCTCTACAGCCCTAATCACCAAGGCACCACTCTCAATCCTAGAGACTTCCAGGCGCGGCTTCTGCACGATGTTCATGTATTCAACGCCATGTTCAACAGGCGATTCTGCCAGATCTATGGAAGCTCCTGCTTGGACGGCCGAGGTTCCACATCCATCCCCTCGGCGCACCTTGCCTACTACGATCTTGTTTTTTACGTCTATGACGGCTGGGTCTGCAGGCGGAAGGAGAGAGAGAAAGAGGAGCCCAGGGTTTCTCTGTTTGCCATACAGGATGAGCTGGCCGATTATGTGTCCCTTATGGACTTTTCCATGGAGAGATGGTATGGCATCATGCCCCCGGTCGACATGATGTCTGGCTTGGAGCCGAACACTAGAGGAAAGAATTCGGATTTCTCCCCTTCCGAGAGTGAGTCCGACACAGGTACATCGACCCAGCAACGCACAGGTGGGAAGCAGTCTCCCAGGACAGGCGGCGCACGACCTAGGCCAAGGCCTCAACGGACTCGCCCTGACGAAAAGATGTTCAATCCCGTGTACCTCTACATCAAGACAGTGTTTGTGATTTTGGCCTTCAGGATGTGCCACTTGCCTGCTTCCTGGCATCTGCCATGGATGCACGCCGACGTGCGTCCTGAGGAACAAGTTGGCTGCGCTGGAGCAGACTGTCCTCTACCTACCCTTGCTGTGGCAGACATGGCGACGACTGTTGTTTCTTTCCGTGGCGCCTGACACTCTAGGCTAGCCGCTCCCTGGTTCTTGGTCGTCATGGGACAAATTCCGCTACTGAGTCCTTGGGTGCTGGGGATATTGCACAGTGGAGTCTCTGGGTAACACCCAGGGCATGGGGGGCACGTATCTTCTCTGCTGCATCAAATGAGATTGCGTCTGTCGGACTGGGGTACAGAAATCGTGGTAGGGGAACTTGTCGAGTCGTGGTGGTCGCTGAGCTTCAATAGATAAACACCTTGATACACTTCCAGGGGCTGGTTCACTTCCGGGGACTGGTTCGCTTCCAGGGACTGGTTCGTGAGTGTGATGAGCTTCAGCCCAATACAAAGCTCCCTCCAAGTACCATTGTCAGGCACAAGTCACTACGCTGAAAGGGAACAAAACACCAGCTGCTCTGCCAGCGACTGCGAGGCGAATCAAGACGATGCTAAAAGCTGAAGAAGGTATAGTCCCTGCATCTTCTCAGCCCCCACCCCCCACACAATCCCCCGCAAATCTCCCCGCGTTCCCCCACATCCCGTAACCTTCATCACCAACACTCGTCTTTCCCCAGAACCCGACCCGAATGACCCGACATTCAGAAGATACGCAGCATACGAGGCGCCTCAGAAGGACCCGAACCGACGCAGTCATGACTAACATGTTCCAGTGTGGTCAGTGTCAACGGCAATACAAGAGATTGGATCACCTTGCCCGCCATGTCCGCTCACGTGAGAAATGCCAGGGCTCCTGACAGCGAGCACGAAGGTGGTCACTCGCTAACGCGTCCTTGCAGATACACAGAACAGGCCGCACAAGTGTACAATATGCTTGAAGGCCTTCACTCGCACGTAAGTGGATCACCATGATCCAATTCCGAGCTTGGGGGCGCCAGGGACCTCGACGACTAAACGTATCCCAGGGACCTGCTCAAGAGGCACGCCGCAAGTCATGCGAATACGGGCTCTGACCAGTCGGCCACGGCGCCTAGACTTCAGGGAGTCGATGCGACCCCGAACAGGGTGACCAAGGCTTGTCGTGCATGTGCTTCCAATCATCTCCGCTGCACTGAGACTAAGCCTTGCTCTCGCTGTGTGGAAAAGGGCTTCGACTGTCAGTGGTCGAACTTGGCAGAAGGGCTTGAGAATGGCGACTCCTCGGATGAGGGAAGTGATATGGATACCAACATGCAGTCCGAGGCAGACGTCTCATCGGGTGTCCTCGCCCAGGACGGACAATCCACCGTCGAGTCTGACTGTCTGGGCATCAGCATGGAGGCCACATCGAGCGCTCCCACCGGCACTTCGCTCTATGCTTCTCAGCCAGTACACCATAACGGACTGTTGGCTCATACATCTTCGGGAACGTTCACTCCCATGCGCACATCCATTCAGTCGCAAGGTAGGTCTACGAACACGCATGTGACAACCCCCCCCCAACACTGACGATGTACTTCAGCGCAAAGTCCAAACCCAAACTTTGACGTCAACCTGCTCTTCTCGGACTTTCCAGATCTGGGCCTTGTTTCTGGGTCTTGGACAACCCCTCTGCCCACGACTGTCCCCTTTGATGCCGCTATCGAGCTAGATGATATGGACCTTCAATTCCTCGATACGTACAACACAACAGTACCCTTCGAGTTTGGAGGACCTTCAGAAGCAGGAACCTCACACTCACGCTTACAGGCCGACCAGAACGAGCCGGCCTCATCCACGTCGAACCAAATCCGCGCAGAAGCGTTTCGAAACTTCCAGTGGAGGTTCAGACCCAGCGTCAACGATCACGCCGGGGCTGAGGAGCACAACCTTTCCTTACCTGAAGCCATTGACACCACGTCGCCCGAGTCGCGTTTGTCTGTGAATCTGAGAATAACGTGCGCTCGGCTCAAGAGCTCCATTCGTGACCGCATCTTGACCTTGGTCATCAAGAGCTGCCGACCAGGCAACCTATCCAAAGCGGTGTCCTCCTTTCCCTCCGTTGAGCTCCTAGATACCCTCGTCCAGTATTACCTCGGATCCCCCATGGCCAGGACAGACTCTTACATCCATACGCCGACCTGTGATCCCAACACGAAAAGACCAGAACTCGTCGCCGCCATGGCGGCTGCCGGTGCCGTGCTGACGCTTGATCCGGCACTTGTCAAACTCGGCTACGCCATCCAAGAGTCTGTCCGAGCGGCCCTCCCGGAAGTGGTAAGCCTCCATTTATATCAATAAAGGTGCTACTTGCTGATCTATGTACAGTGGGAGAAAGACAATTCCTTGATCAGAGACCTGCAACTGTCTCAGGCGTTCCTCATCTCTCTTGAGTTGGGCATGTGGAGCGGCTACAGCAGGAAGGCCGAAATCTCCGAATCCTTTCTGCAGCCCCTCGTCACCATGCTCAGGAGGGACAACAAGTTGAAAAAGACCAGGTATCTCGACCTGTCACTGGATCCCAATCTTGATGACGTCTCGCTCGAGAAGGCCTGGCACACCTGGGTCGACATGGAGGGCTTCAGGAGACTAGCCTTCCGAATGATGCATCACGATGCCAAGTCATCCATGTCCTTGTTCCCGAGCCCCCTCATCTCGTACGCCGAGGTTCAACTGCACCTGCCCTCCTCACCACAGCTCTGGATGGCAACAACTCCTCAGCAATGGAAACAAGCGGTTCTCGCCCAAGGCTCGCCGCAGAAGCTCACACTTTTCGACGTCCTCGACAACCCAGAAGCAACCTCGGCGCCGGACGTCGCCGTCGACGAGTCGCTCTCGCGGGAGGCCTTCCTCTCCTGCGTATGGGGCATGGCGTGGGAGTACATCCAGATGAGTTCGCTGCAGCGCGCCAAGCCCCGCCGCTGGAACGACTTTGTCACCACGACGCGCCGCGACGAGCTGTCGAAGCTCCTGAGCCACTTCCAGATGAGCATCAACCTCTCGGCCCCGACAACGGCGAACCTCGAGCTCCTCATCCGCCTCGAGCTCGTCCTCCTCCACCTGCACACGCCCTTTGAGGACCTGCAGCTCTTCGCCGGCATCGAGGGCCCCGAGCAGGCACGCGGCATATCCCCCGCCGTGCACGAGTGGGCCCGCGGCGAGGCGGCGCGCAAGGCCGTGTGGCACGCCGGCCAGGCGCTGCGGCTGACGCGCCAGCTCCCGCCCGGCACGATCCGGGACTTCACGGCCATCATGGTCTACCACGCGAGCCTGACGTTCTGGGTCTACGGCCTCGTGGCCGATCAGCAGGGCCCGTCCCGCGCCCAGTGGACCGAGTCGCCTGGTGACCTGGCGCCGCCGGTCGTCTGGCTCGACGAGCTCGACGGCCTGCTGCTGCAGCGGTTCCTGCAGCTGGGCAGCGGGTGTCCCTGCATACACGGCTTGTCCGAGCGCGGCGAGGTCGTTGGGGTGCCGCTTTCGAGCCCTGACCAGGTCATGGAGATTGTCTCGGAGGTGCTGAGAGCCAACTTTGACCGGGCGACGCGCCCTCTGCTGGTCGAGAAGCTGGTGCAACTGATGGCTGGGCTGCAACGCTCGTCTCGGGGCGCTGAAGGAGGTGAGATGTGATGACAGGGCCGGATCTCTGGGGCAAACCAGATGCTTCGGGGAGGAATGGGAAGTCAATCGACGTAGAGGGGCATCATGCTGGCGATTGTATTTTTAGAAAGAACTCGGAAGCGCGCAGATGCAAATCTCAGCACGTGGATCAACCATGCATGTCATATTCGCATACCTCCGTAGACTCCCATGCAAAAGCTACATTAAACCCAGATATTTACGGGTATCGCCCTACAGCGTCGACCTGGCTACCTTGACGAGATAGTAGCACAGAAGCCCTGTGCAGGAAATGGCTGTCGACAGGACAATGATGCCTCCCGTGACAATACCCTGGTTGAAGAACCCAATGTCGCCGCCCTTCTTCACGCGGTTCATATCTTTCAGTGCGGCTGAAGCCTCTTCGTGCAAGATCTGGCAACCTTTCGGCGAGGCTTCGAAAAAGAGCTGCGCAAGTCGCTGTCCATCTTTCGTAGGCTCGATAAACTGTCCCTTGGCCAAGGTGAAGTGGCGCTCGCTGTAGGGTGTCAGAGTATCGGGGCTGAAGGAGTGATCAGTTGGTGCTATGGGGCCGTCTACAATAATCAGTCGTGATCCATTCGGCCTTGCGCTTCGGGCACGTACAAAGAAGTTTGAGCGGGATATGGTTGACCAGGCAGATGCTGGCGTTGAGGAACTGGCAGATGTACTTGGCCGCGCCAGGCGCTGTGTAGACATAAGCTGCCGAGAGTCTGCCGAAGCTGTCACGAGTAAACCATGTCAGCGAGTTTCCGGGTTTTATCGAAGAGCGCAAGCAGCTTACCCGGACGCGACGTCAATGGCGTCGTCCATGCTTGTGACAGGGTGGACTACGAGGCACGGCTCGTCCGTCTTGCGCCCCAGCAGATCAGACCTCCTACTCTTGTATCAGTGGTGTGCTCAACTTAGACAACATCTAGAGGCAGTGGCTGACCTTTCCTCAATCTCCACTATAGCACCATATTGAGATGTCGAGTGGACGCTGCCAGAGCCTCCCTTCATCACCTCTTGTACCAGATTCGAAGACGCAGAGGCCTTCGCTGGGCGAGTTTCCGAGACGTAAGAATTGCCGAGTGCGATTGACTGTCTCGACAAGGCCGCCAGGAAATCCTTTCTGATCCATTCGTTGACCAGCACCAGATCGGGCGCATACGCACTCTTGCCTCTGAGGGAGAAGCGCGCCGTGACGAGTGATCGCGCTGCCTCGTCAACATCGGCATCACGTTCCACGACGGCAATGATGCGATTCTGGCTTTCTGATACGATGTGGTGGGCGAGAGGTGCCGCTGTTGAGCCATTCTGCAGGATCCGGCAATGCCTGTGGTTGATATCGATGTCTGACACCGCGGTGTATGAAATTTCGAATGTTCCGTCCACGAGTGCAGCTTGGATTAAAGGCAAGACGATGTTGGGCGTCGCTAGCATGGAGCGACCCATCTGCATAGATCTGTCAGCTTATGCGGTAGAGAAGGGGATCACTTGAAGATATACCTGAACAATCACACAGTTTCCAGCACCGAGCGCTGGTGCCAGCGCCGAAAGAAGCGAGTAGAGGAATGTTTGCGCGAGAGGTTCAATGACAACAATGCCCACAGGGTCTCGGGCATCCGATGCATCTTTGCTATTGGCGATTCGATACTCCAATTTGAGCTCCGTGTCCGTGTCAATCGAGTCGTAGACCTGGGCAAGACACCGCAACGCCAGCCAGTATTCGGTTGCGATTTCAAATCTCGTGTTCCCCGTGTCCTTCTCCATGGCCGCTTTGATGTTCGAAGCGCGGGCAACCAGCGCCTCGTGCAGCTTCTTGAGCTGCGTCTTCTTGAAGAATGGGTTCCATGCCCGGCCATCAATGGCGGCCGAGCGGATGCTGCTGAAGGCCTTGCTGGACATTGTGAGGTGCTGGGCAAGATGTGGGTTTCGCTAAGGGTCAAGATGCAAAAGTGCCAAAGAGGTGCGCAATGTGCACAAGAATATCCAACGATGAAGGCATGCTGGGACTTACATGGTAGCTCGGATTAGATCAAACCGACCGCACAACCCAGCCGAGGCCGCGATACAGCACCTGGGGATCTCGGCTGTGGGGAAAAGGGGGCGCCGGGTGCTTCGGCTTGCTCCTCCACATCCCGACGTGCTGAAGGCTACTATTCGGGCCCTTGCCTACAGCAAGCTACATCACGTAGCAGCTCTCATTTCAACAGGTTCGTGTTGAATGCTCCGTAAGGCCAGCCCGTGCATGCTTTGCATTCTTTTGTTAGTCCTCCGTAGATTTCATTGCTCCTAGCCGCCCAAACCAAGTCTCCAACAGCAAAATGTCAGCTACAATCACCCAGACCGTCTCCAGGCCGAACCACCTACCCTCTCGTCTCCTGGACGACTACGATCTGCATCACTCTGGCAGAGCGCAGAAAACCACTGAAGAGACAACCTCGCAAGGAGACCTTTCAGCAGAACCGCCGCACTGGGATGTTCCGCATCGCCGGGTTCCAGCATACAGGCCAATCGACACGGAAAGAGACCAGTCGCAGATTCGCGTCTACACGCATCCTGCCGAGAGGGTCTTCATCGCAACCATGTTTACAGGTGTTTTGGTCAACGCAGTAAGTTTGGTTCTTTGTCGCTGCCAGCACTACTCCTTCAGTTGAGCGAGACTTGGGCGGGATGTCAGGACTAACAATGTGGGATTTAGACTGCATCCAAGGCTTGGCGAGCATCATTTGGCCGGCTCAATGAGAATGTTTTCAAGTACAAGATTGGGGGCGAGATCTAACCCCGGGATTCCTTGGGTATATGTTTCTGGGTTTTCTGTTGTACTTTCGTAGTATAACTTGCTTATGAACGTGGCTCAGGGCTACCTGGTTCATCTACGCACTGGCGCAAGCTTCATGTTGCGACGAATTACAGTGATGAGCAACTGATACCTCTTGAACGATTCGTGAATAAAAGGCTATGTAACACTAAGTGGCATTAACCTAACCTTCTAATCAGACGACGCCACCCCCGGCATCCCTCCATAATCCTCCGAAAGCTCCTCTCCTGGGACCGATGAAGTCGCCGGCTGCAGCACGTACAACATCCTCGCCCACTCCGTCTGACTGACATTGCGCCAGGCATGCATTGTTGCGCGTTGGACGCAAATGTCGCCGCGTTTCAGCAGCTGCGTCTCCCCCGAATCGAGAACCAATTCGACATTTCCCTCAATAACGACACCGTAATCGAGGCTGACAGTCTTGTGCATGGGCGACAGCGCTCCCGGCGGCATGTCAACGTAGCGGAGGACAGTGCCAGTGGAAACGCTGAGGCCCGGAGGCTTCTTGCGGTAGCCCTCGTAAGCGGTCACGTCTGCCCTGTTGCCGAGGTCGACGGGGAAAGTGTTCGTGACGTAGGGTTGGAAGAAGCTGGCATCTCCTTTTGCAGTCTCTACGAAGTCGGCCTCGGCGGGAATAGACTGGTCGATTATTGCTTCGCCCTTGTCGTTGTTGGCTGTGATGAAGCGCTTGGGGATAGCGAGTTTGCCCACGAGAGCCATGGTGATGGTGTGCGAAGGTATAGAGGGGTCCTTTGGACGGCGTATGTTCGTTTGCGACTTTGGTTGTAGGCTTCACGATAAGGGAGACTCCTGACAATGATGGTGAATCTCTTGGGTAGGTACTTTACAATCTTTAACCACCGTAAGCCATGGCTCTTGTTGTCTACCTTGTGGATATAGCACTTTCTCGTGTTCATTGATCCCCCGCACCACCCCGCCTCCTCACTCCCGACACAAGGTCCCGATGTGGGCGTGCGGGGTGCAACGGCCGCGTCAAGCCGAAAGGTATACCACGGTGTTGTTGTTCCCGAGATGCAAGAGCAAGATACGGCGGTTAAGTGTCCGAGAGTTGACAGTCGAAGAATAACACCTTCATGAGAGATCTTGTACAGTGAGCCATCATGTCTTCGGCAGCAGAGTATGCCCACCACTTCTCGCAGAAGAATGTTCCGTTCGGCATCGCATCGTCGCCATCTCGCCAACGTCCTCGTGCGGCAACCAGGATCGGCAACACTGTTATCTGGCTAGAAGCGTTGCATCAGAACGGCTTCTTCTCCGACATTGAGGGCCTCCCTGATGACGCCTGGTCTCACGAAACACTGAACAGCTTTGCTAGCCTACCAAAATCCGTGCAAAGTAGCGTGCGACGGGAGCTTCAAGATGCATTCGAGAGGAATGGCATCGACGCGTTCCCTGTCTCGGCGACAGAGGACATTGGCGCAGTGACCATGCATCTTCCTGTGGCCATTGGGGACTTTGCTGGTAAGAGGAACCCCTGTACCACAGGCCATGCTCATTCCCAAGTCGCAGGACGACGTTGACGGTAGCTGCAGACTTCTCGTGCTCCTTGGAACATGTCAAGAACGCTGGCAGAATCATCGTCAATGATGAGCGCCCACCCCCGGCATTTTTCAACTTCCCTATCGGCTACCAAGGGCGCGCAAGCTCCATTGTCGTCTCAGGAACCGAAATTGAGAGGCCTTGGGGCCAATTCAGGAACCCCAAGGCCATGGGTCCGGATGCTCCCGGAAATGAGCCTTCCATCATCTTCGGGCCATCGCAGAAGATGGACTACGAGCTCGAGCTTGCCGCCATCATTGGCAAGCCACTGCCTATGAGGCAGCGTCTGAATGCAGTCGATGCTGATGAACACATTTTTGGGTTCGTCATCCTCAATGACTGGAGCTGTGAGTGCTGTGTGAATATTGGGGAGGCGTGTTGAGGCGATAGGGACTGACGTTTGAAGCCCGGGATATCCAAGGATTCGAGATGATGCCTCTCGGGCCCTTCAACGGTAAGAGTGTTGGCTCGACAATATCACCATGGGTGGTGACACTTGATGCTCTCGAACCGTTCAGATCGGACGGACAACTTCAGCGTTCTGTGCCTCGATATCTTGAAGATCCCGACAGGGGATCTTACAACATTACAATGAAGGCAGAAATCGTGGCTCGAGGTAACGCTACGACAGTTGGCACCTGCAAGGTGCAAGATCTCTACTGGAGCATGAGGCAAATGACAGCCCACGCAGTGAGCTCGGGCGCCTCGCTTCGCACGGGCGACGTGCTGGCAACAGGGACAGTTAGCGGACCCGGGGAGGGCGCCCTAGGCTGTTTATTAGAGATTACAGGGGGAGGATCAGCGCCCGTGGTGCTGAAGGATGGCAGCAGGCGCGCGTTTCTGGAAGATGGAGACACGGTACGGATGACGGCTATTGCTGGAAATGAAGATGATGGCGTCGGATTTGGCGACTGCGTAGGCATGATCGTACCAAGTCGCCCTTATGCAGAGTAGCTCGTGACGTCGGAACCATGGGATCTGGCTATAATACGATTGCAAGCCATCATCACTCACGAGTCGTCGTCTCTTGAATCTACCTACAAGACACCTTTCGATATGCAACACTCCAAATCAGTGGTGCAGATATCTCACGCGCTGTTGACTGACCCATCTGAACATGATACCATGTCCACTAGGTATACGACAGTGACCATTCGGGGTCGGGTCTTCGGCTCCACGTGTACCAACGTCCACGCCTTGGGAGAACCCCAGCAAAGGCCATTAGAACAGCAACACAGTGCCCTCCCCCACATTCCGACTCAATATGTAGCCAAGGTCAGAGGCATTGCAGCACACCGTCCAGTTCAAAGACGCAGCATATATGCCATATCGTATGATTTCCCGAGTCGCGGCTTCAATATTGAAATCAAGCCGCTCGAGCATCAGACTGAAGAACCGCCCAATATGCCGAATCAAGTGAAAGACTTACACAAGGTCGACGAGACGTCATTCCCGTACATCTTCGAGCAGAATGCCACCGTAACGCTCAAGGCCGGCGACGGTCTCGTGCGATGCAACATCTACCGCCCAAAGTCGTCAGGGCCGGTTCCCGTACTTGTTACCTACGGCCCTTACGGAAAAGATATTCCCTACAAAGAGTACTTGCCCCTTGGTCCCCAGGGTCCTAATCTTGTGAAACTGACAATGAGCCAGCTTCCACCCACAGTCCTTCTCCGAGGTCAATGAGGAGCAAAAGTCAGAGCACTCAGCCTGGGAGACGCCAGACCCCGGCTACTGGACGCGCAACGGCTATGCCGTCGTTCGCGCCGACGAGCGAGGCCTCGGCCAGTCGACCGGCCTGCTGGACACCATGTCGCGAGGCACGAGCGAAGCCTTCTTCGACGTTGTCGAGTGGGCCGCCGACCAGCCGTGGTCGAACGGCAAAGTTGGACTCATCGGTATCAGCTACTACGCTGGCAGCCAGTGGCGCGTGGCGGCGCGCCGGCCCAAGGGCCTCGCGGCCATTGTGCCCTGGGAAGGCATGTCGGATTACTATCGCGACCGCTGCCGTCACGGCGGCATTCTTTCCAACTCGTTTATCAAGTTCTGGTGGAATCGCCAGGTCATCACGAACCAGTATGGTCGGCCAGGCCGCAGCGCAAGGAACTGGGGCCCCGACACCATTGAGGGTGATCTCGAAGAGGAGGAACTCGCCGCGAACAGGCGTGATCAGAATACGGACAACCGCGATAACAAATTCCGAGACGACCCTTACTACGCCTCGAAGGAGTACGACATGGGCGACATTGAAGTCCCTCTGTTGTCGGTGGGCAACTGGGGCGGTATTCTGCTGCACCTCCGCGGCAACATTGAGGGATATCTCCATGCTGGGTCGAAGCTCAAGTACTTGCGCATGGTCACCGGCCGTCATGATCTTCCCTTCTACTACAAGGAAGAGGTCGAGGTCCAACGAAGCTTTCTCGACGCTTTCCTGAAGGGAGAGGACCGCGTTGGCTGGTCCGAGCCGGGCAAGGTCTCACCCGTCACGCTCGTCCTGCGCAAAGGCGATGCTGGCTTCAATGATGCTGAAAAGGAAAAGAACTTCCCTCGTCGTGAGGAGCAAGAGTGGCCGATCGCACGTACACAGTACACGCAGTTCCACCTGACGCCGGACCTCGGCTTGACGCCCGATGCAGCGCACGAGTCCCTAAGCGACAGGGCAAAACTGTCGTACCGTGCCCTTGGGTCACTAGATGACCAAAAGGTCGTTCAGTTTGTGACATCGCCCTTTGAGGCGGAAACGGAAGTCACGGGACATGTTACGGCTCATCTCAACGTCTCTGTGACTCCGGATCCATCTGGCCCGACACCAAGCGATATTGATCTTTTTGTGACCCTGCGCCACATAGGGCCGACTGGTCAGGAGATCTACTACACGGGCACCGCTGGCGACCCCGTGCCCCTGACCAAGGGCTGGTTGCGCGTTAGTCTGCGAAAGATCAACAAGGAGCACGCGAAGCACCGTGAGTGGTTGCCTCACCGTGACTACACAAGCAAGGATGTTTTGCCTGTCATCCAGGGAGAAGTCTATGCCGTTGATGTAGAGATTTGGCCGACCAATGTGGTTGTCGAGCAGGGGGGCAAACTTGTTTTTGAGGTTTCATCCGGTGATACGCAGGGATCTGGAATCTTCAAGCACGACGACCCGTCTGACAGGTGAGTGGCTCACGAGGTGCGTTCGAGTGATTAACTATTTGCTAACGAGTTGAACAGGTCACCAGAGAAGCTACAGGGTACGAACCACATCCATTTCGGGCCTGGATACCAGAACTACGTTACTTTGCCAATTATTCCCCAGAAATAGACTTCAATAGACTTTGGTATAAGCACGCTGCTTGTTTCGCAATGGCAGCTTCAAAGCTTCAGTTTTCTGTTTGTTCAGCGAGGCCAAAGATTCTTCAATGCACCCATTTGACTAACAATGCCTAAATCATTCAAGAGTATCCTTCTGCCTTGATAGATGTACAGTGACGAATAGTCAAAATATGAAATCATCTTGAGAGCAAGCTTCTTACAACAATTTACTGTGAAAATTGTATAACCAGCAAATGAAATACATGCTACGAATATGAGGACGATTTATGCCACAGCCAGCGTCTTTGGCCAGCTCCCAAACGTAAACTGACTGTTGCACATATTGGTAAGCTCCCAAGTCTCAGCCTTGAGCTCACCAAAACACCCCTCGTCATCCTCATCGCCTGCAGCCCCAGCCACGAACATGGCAGCCATGAAGTGGTCGTCTGTAGCGTGCGCGTCCCGGTACATGGGATGCTTCATCAGTCGCGTCATGGCTCTCCGTAGTCGGGGCCCAGAATTGTTCTTGATGACATCCTCCACGGCCTGTCGGAATTCGAGTGCCCATGGCTCGGGGGCGCGCGTCTGGGCGAAGTTGTCAGAGTAGCGCAGCATGGGGGTCCAGTGGTTCCTGTAGAGGTTGTGAACGGCGCCGCCGGAGCCGATGATGAGGTACCCTTCCGCACGGAGGGGCCGCAGAGCTTCGCCGACGCGAACATGGTAGTGAGGGTCGAAGCGCGCGTTCATGGAGATGAGCGTCGTCGGTGGGCAGCCGTCAGGAAACATGCGGATGAGGATGAGATACGTGTCGTGAATCCAGTCAAACTTTGGATTACCGCTGGCGTCGAACCCAGCCGTACGGAGGATGTTGACGCAGCGCTCAGATGTCTTAATGTCGGGAACGAGCTTGTAGTCCACATATTTGGATGGGTGAACGTAGGCAACTGGCGATTTGGACGGGTCCGGATTTGTGGCAACCTCGACCTTGTCTCCGAGGGCATCCCAGTGTGCACCCTGATAATAATCAGTCAAGTCGCATTCAGTAAATACATGGGTGAACAAACCATCATGATGACGCCTTTGATCTTGTTGGCAAGAGCGGCATCTCCGGCACGCTTCCAGTAGGTGGCAGCATCGGATTCCTCGCCCAGCATCATGGTAGAGCCATGGGAGAAAAAGTGTACGGGCGTTAGTGTAGCTGGTAGGCATCATTAGCACGCGCTTTTACTTGATATTCTAATCAATGTGAATATTTACTCATGATTGAAGATGACCAAACGCCAGGGGTGGACAAATGACCGAAAACAAATGGTTGGGGGATTGATGCGTTGAACTTGAATACTTGAGTCTCTCACCGAACGCACGCTGTCACTAAGTCTATGGATATGGTCTAGGAACCGCAGACCTGGTCGCCCAAGGTCCGATCGGGATGTGGAGGGCACCAGCCGGCAAGGCCGGCAGCCCCGGAAGGCTGGGGTAACTGAGCCGAATGTGCGGGGGCGGGGCTTCGGCTTGGATCCAAATACCGATCATGACCAGGACAGGTCGTTCATGGGATTGGTGGCGCGAGCATGGTGTTTCCCCATGTTTTCCGCGTGATGCATCTGCTGATCTCAGGTCCCCAGATACTAACTAGTGCGGAACACGCCTGGCATTAAACACAGCATCTTGTCGGCCCCTCTCTCCACCTCCCGGCGCCTTCCGAGCACAGGACTTTCTCTTGAATACATGTAGGACATCGAGTATATCGACATGCTGTAGCAGAGCCGGGCGCGAGCTGAGCACTTGAGAAGACTTGTTCCTCTTTCTCCAGTCGAGACAAGCTTAATTGGCCAATACTTCGTACGCACTACAGAGTTGAGTTCTTGGCCCATGCCAACTAGCCTCACGATGGAGCAATCAGAACCCTTTTCACCTCTAAACATTGTCATTGTCGGAGCAGGTTGGTGAATTGTAGACTTCTCACCAAACTATCTTCGCTAAATTTCCTCGCAGGCATTGGTGGGCTTACAGCGGCCCTGGGTCTGCGCCAGCAGGGTCACAAAGTGACAGTAAGACTGCTGTTGAGAGATACATGATCATGGCGAAGCTGACTTTTATGCTCAGCTTCTAGAACGCTCAGGCTTGAACTCTGAAGTCGGCGCCGCGATTCATCTTGCCCCCAACTGCCATGGCATTCTCAAGCAATTCGGTATATTCCCGGAGAAGTTCGGAGCCAATCCAATCAGAGGTGTAGGTTCCCTTTGGCAACATGCCCATGAGCGTTGTACTGATTGACCATTCTGAAGATTGTGGACTATGATTACATTGGCAATCAGAAGGCCCGCGTGGATCTCAAAAAACCCCTATCGATCTGGCAGCATGTACGTTAAAGACCACACCTGGTGCCTCCTGTGAAACATCCTAACATCATGTTCTCAAGCCCTGGATGCTCGCACATCGGGTTCGTCTCCACGAAGAGCTGAAGAAAGTGGCGGCTTCAACTTCCCTGCCTGGTCTACCTGCCGAATTTCGCACTCATTGTTCCGTCGCCGATGTCGACCCCGCGGCCGGTACCGTGACGCTTGAGGACGGGTCCGTTGTGTCGGGCGATCTTATCATCGGTGCCGATGGTGTCAGCGTAAGGTCTATTGGCATGCAGAAACTGACAACCGCGGCTAACATGATAATGATTCAATAGTCAATCACTCGATCCATAGTCGCAGGCCCAACTCTCAAGCCTTTTGGTTCGGGAAAGAGCGCCTTCAGATTCATGATTTCGCGATCAACACTCCAGGAGAATCCCGAAACACGACACCTGGTTGCCGAGGATGGCTATCTGACCATGTGGGTTGCCGACGACAGACGCCTCGTCATGTACCCAACCTTGAACAACACGGTCATGAACTTTGTTGGCATCCACCCTAGCGAGCTTACATCAGGGCAGGGTAAAGGTAACCAGATTCTGGGCAAGATCCGCAACTTACACATTGCTGACCGTTGACAGGATGGAGTCGGAGCGCCAGTAAGAAGCGCTTGCTGGAAGTATTTGGCGATTTTGCTCCTATTGTGCTGTCTATTCTGCGTGAGGTGGATGAATCGGAGCTGAAGGTCTGGACGCTGCTTGACATGGACCGTATTCCAACGTGGATCAAGGGCAAGCTGGCGCTTCTCGGTGACGCAGCGCATCCATTCTTGCCTCATCAGGGCCAAGGAGGTACGTTTTGTCGTTATGGGGTCAGCCTAAAACACTGCTAATCTATTACAGGTGCCATGGCCATCGAAGATGCGGCTGCACTTGCTGCCGTGCTCCCTTCAGGAACAACGGTTGACGAACTTCCCGAGAGGCTAGCTTTATACGAAAAGATCAGAGATACTAGAGCCCACAAGATCCAAAGCTTCACGAGACTAGCCGGAGAGGATTTGACAGACGCCAATCGGAAGAACTTCAACAGTAAGACGGCATCTCGGGCTTCTGTGACCCCCAGAGCACGCCACAATACAACTTTGCTAACATCTCGCAACAGTGATGGAGTTTATCAACTACAACTTTGGCCACGACGAGTGGCACAACTCGAGGAGAGTCCTCCAAGAACACCTCTGGTCTCGCAATGGGCCGACCTTCCAACGAGGCCCCCTCTCCTTCGGACCCATGCCGAGCCCGAGACAGCGCCACGATGGCACCCTTCAACCCTCTAGCGGCTCCACGACGGCTCATAGCATTCGCTTCAGCACATCCGCTACGTATCTCAAGACACTCTTCCCGACCCCGGCTTTCAGCTTCGTCAGCCCCGGTACGCTAGCTGAGGCCAGTCTTGTGACGCTCGAGTTTCGTGGCTTGTCGTGGCTCGGCGGTCGCGGATACAACGTCTGCGGTTTCTTCATCCACGACGTGCGGTACGAGAAGGAGCCGGGCAAAAGTGTTGTTGGTTCCTTCATGGTTGTCATGTTCGAGGGAGCTGCTGATCCTCTCGTCACGGGAAGAGAAGAACTCGGCGTGCCCAAGATCTTCTGCAACATTGATGTCGCCAAGAAGGAAGAAGGCGTGCTCGTAAAGTGCAGCTGGGACGGCAACGTTTTCATTGAGATTGATCTTGGCGCAGGGTCTACGACGAACGGAGCTACGACAAACGGAGCTACGACAAACGGAGCTACAACGAACGGAGCTACAACGAACGGTGTCTCAAAGCCCGAAGACCAAGATGCGCAGACTCTGACAAACGGGGGTCCGCAGCCGGCCCAAGACAAGCCAACTTGGTTCTGGTACCGGTGCGTGCCTTCAGTGGGCAGAAAGGGTGTTGCAGATGCCGAGTATCTCGTCACCCAGACGCCTGAGCCAGCACCAGAGCCCACCACGCCTAATGCGGCCGCAAAGAAGACATGGCATGAATCGACGATGAAATTTGATAGAGGAACATGGAAGACGCTGCCTACGCTTCATCACGTGGCGTCGACGCTGGCAGATATGCCCGTCTATGGAATCATTGCCAGCGAGACTACAGAACGGGAGGGTTCCGAAAGCTTTTCTACAGTATCTCGGTTTGATTAGAGGGATTAGATTAGATAGGCCCTTTCATATACTATACCTGTGATTGGGAGAAAAACCTAGTGAGGCCTGCTGCACACAAGATAAATCCCAAAAGAGTTGGATGATCAAAACAGACGAGGTTGATTCATTGCTTCTCGTCAGCTCTAGCTACCCGCATGATGCTCAAAGGCATCCCACACCAGCGACAAATGCCATGCATGCGGCCGCAAGAAAAAAGATTGACTCTCTAGAAGACATTACCCTTCACCTGCTTCATGGTCCTCACATCCGTGTTCCTCCAAATGGCCACACCAACAACAGCAAGCACCCAGACCGCCGTACCCCCGGTCAACATCATCGACTGTGCATCGGCGTACGCCTTCTGAATGGCGATACGGGTGGGTGTTCCAACAGGGTACATGAGCTGCGCCTCGAGCATGGCGTAAATGTTGAAGAGTTCCGGCTGCGCCTCGACGGGGAGGTACTCGGCAAGCTTGACAGGGAAAACGTTCTGCCAAATGGTTCCGGCGACGGTGAGGCCGACGGCGCCGCCGACGGCCGAAAACATGGACAGGACGGCCATGACGACAGCGACGTTCTGGTGGTTCGACGCCGAGACGGCGGCGATCTGTGGCGTGATGAGCATGATGCCACCGGCGGCCGACAGAAAGACCTGGGACATGATGATGAGGCCGAGATTGGATGACTTTGCGTCCCGGAAGTGAATCATGAGGCCCATGAAGAGCACGTACACGGGAATGGCACCGTAGAGAGTGATGGCCTTGAAACGTCCCGTGTACCGAATGGCCACGCCGGTGGCAATGGAAAATAGACTGCCGCCGAGACCGTAGATCTGGTAGACGTAGCTAGCCTTGGTCACGCTCAGGTCGTGGACAACCATGAGGTACGAGGTGAAGAAGCTGTTCCAGCAGAAAAAGCTGATGAACAGCGTGGTGCCGAGCACACATGCGCCGACCATGTTGCGGTCGAGAAGCAGTGAGTAGGGGATGAATGTGACGGGAGCCAGGAATTTCTCCCACAACGCGAAAAGTACGACGAGGAGCACGCCAAAGACCAGCAGGCAAATGATCAGAGGCGAGCGCCACTGCAGAGGCTGGAAGCCGTAGAGGTTGAAAGACAGCAGGAACATGGACAAGCCGACCGTAAGCAGGAGAAGGCCGACAGCGTCGAATTCGCGTGCATAGTAAAGAACGGATGCAACCGGTGAACGCTTCTCCTTCTCCGAAACGATGACGCCCTGCTCCTTGGCCTTGGAGAGGTTGACTAGCAGCAGGGCAAGCAGGGGCGCGCAGAGGACGGGCACGATGATGGAGAACATGCCATAGGCCCACCGCCAACCAGGGCCATTGAGGAAGCCTTCCGAGATGGGACCTCCCAGCCAGATGGTTATGATATTGGGTGATGCCGTCAGGGCTGTCATCAGCGCTCGGTTGCGCAGGGACGAGGTATCGGCGACGATGATGTTGACCGTGTAGAGTAGCGAGTTGGTTCCAACGGTCCAGAAAACCTGGGCCGCCGCGTACATCTCGACGCTGTTGGTTGCTGCCATCATGACGAGGCCAATTGTTGTGATGACGAGCGAAACGGCGTAGCCTTGCGGCCGGCCAAAGACGTCAAGGACCTTGGCAATCGTGAGGATGCAGACTCCTCCTGCCACCGTGCTGATGATGCCAACGGTCGGCGTCAGCGAGTGAAGCTGGAAGGCCGAGGTGACGAAGGGTGTCAGTGATGCCGACGACATTTGCTGCATCAGCGTGACAAAGTACACGATCCAGATCAAGACGTAGGCGATGATCAGAGTCGTCTTGGACCAGACCGTGGCGATGGCTTCGACATTGCGAACACCGGCTTGAGCCTCCTTGTCGATGGTCTCTTCTTGCTGTTGGGAGGATTCGCGGTCGTGCTCCAGATCTCGAATCTTCGCCTCTTGCTCCTTGCTGGCCACGTGCAATGGCACGTCAGGGTGTCGAGGCTCTGCCATGACTGTGGTAGGCAAGAGAAAACAAAAAAGCGTTGCGTTACTTGTGAATGAAAGACAATAGGCAAGGTGGAAGGACCGTCAATAGAAGGTCAAAATCACTGGAAAGAGTTATAGTTTCCTGCCACGCGCCGCACCTGCTTTTGATAGCCCACCTAGGTACGGTAAGTAGGTTGCCAAGGGTATCACAAATGATCTTGCTCAGCTGTTGGTCCAGCCTATCTTGTGGTGTAAACCAAGTGATCAGTGTGGCAATGACCTTGGCTTCTATTCCGCAATTTGAGAAAGTTATCGGCACATCCACCTACATCAGTCTCCCACGCCGAAGCAACAGACCCTTTGCCGTTGTATCGCAAGGGGGGAGGGGTGTGAGTGTCAAAGCTGTGAAGCCTGACCATCTTTCGAGCATGTACACTGCGAGTTGGCCCGCGCAGCCAATGATAACTAGCTCGATTCACCTCAAAAAGCCAGGGTCTCGATGCCGCAACAAGATAGCGTGTTGTCTGGGATGGCGGCTAAGAAACAGGACAGGGATCACAGTTAAGCGAGAAGGGTCCTGTTGCCGATCAGGCAAGGTTCTGTTCTGTGACCCAGGAGTACTTTCATCCCAAATGTGGAGTCCTCATTTGATGCATTTGTTCTGTCGTTATCGCCCCGGTAAGACTCCTTACCGATGCTGGATCTGACCAATTACCTTCGTTTGGACTTCTGGAAGTCTCCTTTTGTACCTTAACAACAATCAATCCACTTTGTTCAATTCCGTGGTGACAGTTATGAGCCCGGGCGACGATACAGCTCCTTGACCTTCGATATCTACAGCAGGGCGCCTACGGCCAATACGCCTGCTGCGAAGCTGTCTACAGCTGAATCGCCGCTGCACTTCAACAGTCAATTGACGCGACGTTTCGCCATTGACGACCACTGGCCAAGGGCCGTTACCGACATCCTCCAGGAGAGCGATCATCTCTCCACGACACATCGAAGCAGGAGAAATCAGCTCCTCAAGACCAATTGAACCTCCGAGACGTGTGGCCTAGGGCTTGAGTACACGCGGGGTCAATTGATGATATTCAACATACACGCGATCAGTCGCGACCATCGAACGACCTCCCCGACGGTCTCCGACAACGCCCAGGGATCCTCAAGATGGACTCTGGTAAGCACAGAGTGACACTTACAAGGAGGGAGGAATGGAGGACATGGCTCAACTCCGTCAGAGCCGTGGCGACCTCCTACGAGGCCTGGGATCTAGTCGACCCAGACAAAGAGGCTGACAGGCGGCCCAAGAGGGCCAAGAAGCCAACAGCACCGTCATTCGAAGATGAGACGCGAGATCTCAGCACACTGCTGACGTTGTACAAGATCCATTTGGACATCTACAACAGGGAGTCAGCGGGCCTCCAGGAGGTCCAGAAATACATCCTCAACACAGTCGACAGGAGCCTTTCGGCCGTCTTCATGAACGAGGAAAGCAGCCAGGAGTGGCTCAAGGCGTTGAAGGACCACTTCGCCCCTTCCGACATGGGACAGAAACAATACATTCGCCAGCGCTGGGAGGAGCATATGGCGATGATCAAGAAGATGGACCATGAGAAGTGGGTTGACGACTTCATCCTACTCTGTATCGAAGTTGAGAAGCACGGGATTCCTCAGCTTAAAGAAGCCGCAGATCAAAATGTTCAATTCCTTCGGGCAATTCTTTCCGTGTCTCCAGGGTGGGCCGAAGCAGAGTGCGCCCACCAAGTTCGCCGGGAGCTGGATGATCGTGATGGAGGGAAGGTACTGGCGTTGAGGTACAAGAGCTACCTTAGAGACTACCAACCGCATCGCCTCACCACCAAGCCATCTCAGACGTCCTTCTACAGCGACTCGGTGACCTTCATGGGCAAGGACCGGAATGGTCAAAGTGATCGGACGAGTGCCCAGGATTCCCATCGTGACTCTCCTCAACAGCCAAACAGCTCGCCTTCTCGCAGACCATTCTGCGACTGTGTACAGCAGAAGAGGGCACCCAAGGCGTGTCAGCCCATCTGTCTGTGCCCAAATATCGCGGAACACCGGAGGAAGAAGAGCTATCAATCCGATCAGAGCCTGCTGGACTACATTGACGAAGCGAAGAAAAGGATGAAGCCAAGCACATTGCAATTCTGGAACGAGAAAATCAAGGAGGACAAAAAGAAGCGGCAGGAGGCAAGAGGCACCAGTGGAGTCGCCGTCTCTGCTTTTAACAACTTCCTCGGTGACGATGATGAACAGAGCTGCGATGACGAGTACACCAACTTCATGAGCAACTTCTCCGTCGCTGATTCGGACGAGTTTCAACGGACAAACCGAGGAGGGGATCTCCGTCACGAGTTCCTGATCGACTCGGGTACACCCAACCATATAACCAACAACAAAGACCTCCTCACCAACTTTCGCGAGGCCACCGACACTGTAAGATACAGCACAGGAGGAGGCAAATCAAGCCCCGTCGAAGGGCATGGCACGATGGCCATCGACACCCTCGACAGCAAGCAGAACGTCATCAGCATCACCTGCCATGATGTCTCGTACATCAAAGACTACCCGACGACGCTTATTTCAGCCAGGCAGCTCCAACGCCAAGGACTCGGACTGGACTCCCTCAGGAACATGCTGTTCAACCCAGCCACTGGCTCAGAGATCCCACTTCAGGAGAAGGGTGGCCAGTATGCGGTGAACACCCTACATAGCACCACTTCCTTCTATCACTCCAAGAAGCAGAGAGCCGCGATGGTCAGCGACTCGAGGCTCTGGCACGAACGGCTGGCTCATGCCCACCCAGAGGCCATACAGCAGCTGCCATACAGCTGTACTGGAGTTGGGGTGAAAGGGCCAACAACATTCGAATGCGAGTCTTGCGGGGTAGCGAAATCCAAGAAGATTGTATCTCGGAGACAGCCAACGTACACGACGACGAATCCATTTGAGCGCGTCAACCTGGACTTCTTCAGCCCTGGGAAGTCGTACAACGGCATGGAGTCGTGCCTTGTAATAACGG